GGGTTGGGATGTTTTCGTGATGCACATTTTCTTTACATAAAACTCTCTTATACATGAGTTGCTGTGGATTTGTTTCTCCAAAGTACCCAGACTGATACAGATGGCTGACAGCACCTCCCTCATTTTTTTTCTTCACCCCTTCTAAGTTGTCAAATCACTGTCCTTTCATTTCCCTCTTCATTGTGGAAGCAAAAAGAAATTGCATAAAAAAATAAAACAAAAGTCGCATGGAGTGAAGTCAGGTAAGGTGCATGGGGCAAGAGAGGCATGCTGCTTTTGCCCAAAACTAGCACACTGAGATGGCAGCACATGCAAATGTTGTAGTGGCAAATCCAGTTGCCTGTCTGCCACAAATCAGGCCTTTTTTGTTGCACACTGGTATACAATCTTTTCAGAAACTCTAAATATTCCGGAAACAATTGCTGAAGACAGAATGGGTGCATAAGCAAATGTGGTTGAAGACAGCTGATGGTGCCTGGCTATTAGTATAGCATCTGGGGTCTCAATGGCTTGAAGTTAAACAACCGGCTATCTAATAGGGAAGCAACAAAGCTCACATGGAAGCACCCCAGCCAGCGTGCTGAGATGTCCATGGGGATAGGTATCAGAAGTTTAAAAACAAGCAATCAAATTTCTGTATGTACGTGTACATTCCATAGGTACATTATTGATGAAAAATTCTAGTCAGTTTTACTAAAACAAATCTATAAACCAATATACCTTAATGTAGATGTAAAAATTCTTAATACCAGCAAACTGAATGTAACATCATATAAAAATGATTATACACCATAATCGAGTGAGATTTACTTTAATACAAAGGTGGTCCAATATCAGACAATCGGTCCAGGTAATATATAGGAATAGAATGATAGAAAGGAATCACATGAGAAGCAGAGTAGGTACAGAAACGGCATGTGAAGCCATGGTGCGATCAACTGGAGTCAATGATTTGAACCCAGTGGGTGCTCTTTGAGAGGAAAAGTGAGGCCATCTCTTCTGTTACAACGTGCAGCCTGAGAAATCCTGTATAGTGTGCGAGTTCCAATTGACTTGGGCTTGGCTTGGTTTAGAGACCAAGGAGATCTTGGTGGTACCAACTGTTAACATGCTTCAGCTAACACAAAACTGGGGCACAGTTCAACTGTGACCCATGTGGGGTCCCCCGAAGTGACTCTACAGCAGCTGACTGGGTTTGCACTAGACTGAGGTGTTGAAGTGAGTGGGGAACAAGGAGTTACTGCCTACGGAGCACTGGGTTTCTGTTAAGGGGTAAGATTTGGGAATGGATAGCGGTGATTGTTGCATAACATTGTAAATGTAATTAGTGTCACTCAAAGGTACACATATACTGAAACGGCATGTTTTGTTATAATTTTATAATAAAACCATATACACAAGTATAAAGCAACAAATATCTGTCTTCAATTATTTCCGAGGGTCAGGAAGTTGGGGATGTTAGTTGGCTGATGTTTCTGGCTCAGGGTCTTGTGAGAATGCAATCCAGCTGTTGGTAGACACTGCAGTTACCTCACAGCTCGCCTGCGGCTGGAAAATCCATTTCCACTCACCCACATAGACTGACAGGTCTCAGCTCTGCTGGCCAGTGACCTCCAGTACTTTGGCTCTCTCCAGGGCTGCTGGAGCACCGTGAAAGCTGCCTTCTCATAAGGTGAGTGATCCAAAGGAAGGGAAGCAAGGGAGAGACTGTCTGAGATAGAAAACATGTAATCTAGTCTTGGAAGCGACCTACCCTCATTTCTGCTGTATGCCATTGGCTACACAGCCTGAGTCTGGTACAGTATACAAAGCTGCAACCATTGGAAAGCAGGAATGTCTGGGGCCCATATTAAAAGGTGGTTATCACAGAGCTATCAATGGCTAATATTTATCTATTGCCCACGTTTTAAAAGTCAGTATTTACATTATGCTGGGAATTTTTTGCAAGTACTTCCTTTTGTTTGAGAAAATTATGTGAAAGGTATGCAGTTTTAAAACGTTTTCAGGGTGAGAGAATAAAAAAGTTCAAAGCTCACTCTTTTAAGTCTACTAGATCTAGGCGTTGTCAGGGGCAGGCCATCTCAGATGGGGCGCACCCCTCCCATCATGCTGCTGTGGCTATCATGCGCCCCACCCCCAGTCCTTAATGCTATAGTCATCTAGTCATTTTAACGCTATGGACAATTGATCAATGAAAGAGACTGAAGTATAATTTGGATTCTAATGTGTGGAGGGAAAAGATTATATGAAATTGGGACTTGACTGACTCTGGAAATTGAGTATTAATGTGTAAGAATATGAATCAGAATTTTAACTTATGAAGATTTTAAAAAATAGGAGCCATTAACCACACGTTAAGTGTCTCTTACATGTAAGGAACCATCCGGTTGAAGTGGACTGGATGGCAGGGAGTTGTTGCTACAAGATCGAGGGTGGGGAGCAGGGGGTGTATCAAATAACACAATATAATGTTTTACAATGGTGTCTGGATACTCAGAGAAGAAATAAGATCATGTATGTTAAATAATTTCATACTTCAGATAGTAAGAAGTTTCAGCTGATTTTAGCTCCCAATGCAGTCAGTAATTACAGATAATAACTGTCTTAAATCCTTAGTACTTATTGAGGCACACCACAAAGGACATAAATTTAAACCACAATGTTAGTATTTTATTAGGAATTAACCTTGCAATCTGGCTCACCCTTTAAGAGAAAGAATGCGTTGTGAGGGGGCTTCAATAAAGTTCATAGAAAATGGAATTTTCCCAAGACTTTTTAGGATCTTTTAATCGTAGTACAGTATATGAACGTTTTAGTCACTACCATAAATGCACTAAACCAGAGCTGAAGTTATGCAAAATCAAAGCCAAACTCACTGCCACTGAGTTGATGGCGACCGTCCAGGGCAGGGTAGAACTGCCCCTGGGGGTTTTGAGGCCGTAACTCTTTAGGGAGTAGAAAGCCCTCTGGAAGGGCTGGTGGGTTTGAACTGCCGACCTTGAGGTGAACACGCAGCAGGAAACCCACCAGGCCACGCGGGCGCTCGTCCAGACTAAATGGACGAAGGATTGTGAGAACTTGCTGGAAGACGCCGAGTGGGACGCCGGCCTCCCGTTTCTGGGAACGGCTGCCCGCCCGCCCGCAGCGGGGCCAGCGAGACCAGCAACACCACGCACGCTCCCTCGGCTTGCGGCGTGCGGGCTCCCCATCCCGAGGTGGAGGGCTGGGGTCTGGGCGTCGGAAGCCGAGCCGGGAAGCGGGGTCGAGGCGGGTGTGCCCAGGCCCGCGCGGCGCCCGGGACAGGCCCTCCCCGGCTCGGCCACACTGGCGGGTTTGATCGCTAAGAGAACGGCGAACGGGGCGGCTAACCAGAGTGCGTGACCAGGGAGGCGGCCGGACGCCCCTCCGGCGAGCTCCTTCCCGCCCTCTTCCGCGGTCACCCCGGGACAGGCGAGGCCGCGCTGGGTCGAGTCAGGACACCGCGAGGCTCCGTCCAGCAGGAAGGGGAGGGCGAGGCGGGCAGGATGGCGGCGGGCCCGGAACTGGCAGGCTCGGAGGGGCGGGGCCGAGGGACTCCCAGCATGCCGCGCGGCGCCCGGCTTCCGGCTGTGGGCGGCGCGGGGGTCGGCGGTGGTGGGAAGTGGGCCGAGCCGGCTGGCGGATCGCGTCCTGCACTTCCGGGGGCCTCGAACCTGGCGCCGGTGGCTTCCCGGCAGGCGGCGCGGCAGGGAAGCGGGGTTCGAGGAGCCGGCGGGGCGGGTCCCCGCCTCCCCAGCCCATGTGAGCAGTGTCGCGTGCCCTGCCAGGCGAGGGCTGCCGGAGAAGCGGGGCGGGTGGCCAGGCCGGACCATGAGGCAGCGTCTCCTCCTCCTGACCGGCTTGATTCCTCTGGTGCTGGCGCCGCGGCCGCCGGACCCCCCGGGACATGGCTCCCCCCAGCGACTCGGTAAAGGCCCGGGAGAGGTCGTCTCGGCCGGCGCCCAGCCGGTATCAGGTGTTTGGGGGCGGAGTGTGGGGCGAAGAACTTTTCGGAAACGGAGGGGGTGTGGCGCTCGGAGTTGGGGCAAAGAGTGAAGAAGTCGGGGTTGTGGGAATGGGAAAGGGGTACTGGCGTGGCATTCGGTAGTCACGGAAGGGAGAGCTCTGCGTTTGGAGAAAGCGACGCGGTGGAGATCCTTGCCCTGTTTGGGTTGCGTGTGGCGCTGAGGTCTGGACGCCAGGAGCCGGGGAGGAAGTGGCCGATGCCCCCGGGCTCTTCCTGGCCTCCGGGCGCCCACCGAGTTTCTCCGGAGGGCCTTCGTGTGGTCAACTGTGTGTAAGGTGGTGGCGAGAGAAGTTGTCCTGGAGGTGCACTTTGCAAAACCCCCAAGTACATTCATAGTTATTTAAATGGTAGCTTTTTGGAGGTGATGCGGGGCGGGGGAGAGGTAGGGAGCGGGGAGGGGTGGCATTAAACTCCCTCAAGCCAACTCGTGGTACTGCGGCTGTGGAAGTCTTCCCTACAATTTTAAACAAAGAAATGATCAGGGATGACCAGTTTGATCAATTTGAGTCTAGAAACTAGAGGGCCCCCATGGGGTTTTTCTGTAGCAGTTGAACTTGAAGGGTGGACTTGCATGTGAGGTGGAATATCCAGTTTGGTTCAAGGTACAGTGCCTAGTAGGGTCCTTTATTTTTCAAGTGTTGGCTTGGAGCAGTTGGAGTGATCAGTAATAAAGTAGAGAGAGTGTTGTTCCCCATGTGTGAAGTTGTAGTCTCCTGCGATTTCGTGGTTGTACCCCTTCCCCCCACCGTTCTGCCATGAGAGCATTTATAGTATTGTGTAGATTCAGATGCATGTGGGGCTTTCTGGCCATATTGTGAAGTTGTCAACGATAAGCATATGAAAGGTATTGAATGTTCTCCTCAGAATGCCTGCCTCAAGTTGAAATTGATTACAAATGACCAGGGAAAGGCCTGCAGAAGAGGTGAGAGGTTTCGACTCCCTTGAACGTTAACAGCCTCAGAAACCTGTGTTAGAGTTCTCGAGTGGGAAATACCTCAGTTCTTGGATTCCCACGAGAAAGAATTCATGCCGAAGCTTGTTTTGTGATCCAAGTGGGTTTTTATAAAGGAAGGAAGAAACTTCAGGTTTTACAGTCTCGAAAGAGTACATGCTATTTTGGGGAAGCATGCCAAACTGTGCTTAAGCTGTGCTTGGGCTGACCACTGAACACGGGCAACCTCGTGGGACTGCTCACCCACCCCGGGTGACCTGAGGCCAGAGAGACCACAGCACAGCCAGCGGGGGAGGGGGCAGAGGGGCTGGGGGCGAAGGTGTATTGGTTGACCTCATTGGCTAAATCAAGCCCACCTTGGCCTAGTTGGGCCACCGAGGTGTACCGCTCACCTGGCTGGAGGGGGGCCGGGGCGTGGGGGGGGGAAGCTTGAATTGGAGCATGCCCAGTTAAAGTTTTTATGGGTGGCTAAAGCTCACTTGATTCTCTTCCAATCTCCTCTGTGAGGGTCTTCAGGCATGGGAAGGGACAACCCCCTCTATTCTGCTACCTAACACTGACAGAGGACAGCTGATTTACCCTGCCCACGAGGTCGCCAGGAGTCTGCATCAATCCAGTGGTAGTGAGAGCTTGAGTGAAAGGCCAAGGGGCCCATTAGGATGTACTGAGACGTGATAGTGCACACTGCCTTTGAGTAGAAATTTCCGAGGCTGTAAATCTTTACCTGAAACAGGCTGCGCCGTCTATCTCCCAGAGAGTGGCTGGTGGGGCTCAGCCAGTGGCCTTTTCTCTGACAACAGAGTGCTTCCACCCCTGTATCACTACAGCTCTGAGATGTGATAAAAGGTTGATTCCAAAAATGGTTTAAAAAAATGAATAACAAAGTAAAAAACAGAGAATAGAGCTGTATCTGGACATATAAAACTTACATTATGAGCACGGTGGCACAGCGTTTTATATATGTTGTTCTGTTAACAGTTCACATATGGAAAAGTGACGTAACTTCTTAGGAAACTGTACACTGTACCCACCACTATCCAGCTGATTTGGACGCATATCAACCCTGCTTAGAGTTTGCAAGGCTGAAAGTTTTTACAAGAGCAGATGGCTTCATCTTTATCCCTAGGAATGACTGTGGATTGAACCGCCGACCTCGGAGTTAGCAGCCCAACTCTTACCCAACCACTCTACCGGGCTCTTTCTCAAGAGTATTTGCAGATCCTCATCATGTGGGCTTCTTATGTGCAAAGTATATTTTAGGACCACATATAAGAGTTGTGCTTGGCATTGGAGATACGAAGTTCCAAGCTTAATCCACCTTCAATATCATAGTGGACTAGAGAGCATCTCGAGATATAAACAGGTCATTCTTAAACAGTATGGAAGAGAGTGTTAGAGGCTATTAAGAGGTGAGTAGGAGCACTCCTGATAGGAGGACGTAGAGACTGTTAACTGTTGACATGAACCTCCGAGAGTCTGCCTAGTTTTGTAATAAACAGGCAGGGAAAATGTGAGTGTCAGGTGGTCTGAGAGTTGTGATGTTCCTGTAACTTGTGGTGAACTTGGAAAAGACTCCTGTGTGCATGTCTGGGATGTAATTTGTTGCTGAACTTAACCCTATTATTATTTAGGTTGAGTTAAGGCCAGTGGATAGTTTTCATAGGTAGAGAGAATGACTATTTATTTTACTCACTTAACTTGTCCTACAGCTGCTACCATAACTGCAACGGTGCTATCAATTCGGCCCTAACCTGTGTTTCTGAAGGGAAATGGATAGATCTAATGGGGGCATGGCTCTTGCAGGGCTTGACTTCATTTGGACTGTTATGAGTTGCATAATTTAGGAAAGTTATGAGTCATATGAGCTTAGTCACGATGATATCTCCTTGAAGTTGCAGCTGAGATGTATAAGTCTCACTTTGATTTCGAAATTGTTTTCCCTGTGTGTTAGTTTTAATAAAAGAGGATGTAGTGGGTGGAAGGAGAAAATATATAGGTCACAAGATGAAGGAGGAAAATTTGTATCCGAATCCTGCACTGTGGTTTGAATTTACTCAGAGGTTAGTGGCTGGGAGTTCCCCGAATTCGGTTCTCATTTCTCATCATTGATAATACCATCTGACCTCATATTTTGATATCTGCTCACCTCTTTTGATGTTCATTTTGCTGATTAAAAGTAGGCTTCCTTTGAAACCTAAATACTTAACCTAACTGCTCTGAGGGAAATTGACCACAACACTGCTTCATCTAGTTTGAGAGATGTTCTATTTCTAGAGTAGAATCAAGAGTTAGGCAGAGCTGTGATGGGGAAATGAGAGAAATCTCTTTGGCCTACACTGGAGCTTTTCAGAGCATTAAATGTAGGCACGTATGGTGTTGTGTTTGTGCTAAGTGGTAAGTATATGAAGCTGGTGTCTGAAAAAGACCTGAGGGAAAGAGGGTCAGAAATAGGCTTTGCTGGAAGAGGGGAGGGAGATGGTGGGCTCTGTGTCATGTCTCTCATTTAGTCCTGCATGACTAAGTCAAGGGGAGGGGTACTTCCTCATGCCCCCCTTTTTCCTGAGTTGTAGACTCTGACCATTCTCCTTCACCACCATGGCTTCACTTATCACCTGACTGTGTTCTGCTGACCATCAAACGTGTGTCTAGTCTGGGCCTGCTCTCTGAAACTCCGGACTTGTGTGTCCAACCGCCTACACCTGCTTCTGCTGGTTTTTCCCAGATCTCTGCGTGTGGAACCACTACCCTCTCAGGTACCCAAGTCAGAAGCCTTGAGATCTTTTATGATCTCCACCCAGATTGCTCGGTAACTTACCACAAGACCCGATCTCCACCCAGAATGCTCGGTAACTTACCACAAGACCCGTGAAAGCCGGAGTCTGCAAGGAAACTTGTCAGACAAGGAGATCTGAAATATTCCCCACAAAATGAGTGATACAAAAGTGGTAAGACGGCCCCCTGTCTACTGCTGGCTCTCTCCGGCTCAATGTGACACTTCTCCCAGATGTGAGTATTCTTCCTTGCCAGCTGCAGCCAGAAGGAGCATTCCCATACCCTAGTGGTTGTCCTGGTCCATTGTCCAAAATGCTTGCTTGGGTCGGGACCTCCTGAAGCCATGTCAGCCTCTGCAGCGTCACAGCTCACCGTCTCCCCTGCTTTGTGCACGCTGGCCTCGTGGATTGCTCCCACGTCTTTGGGTATTGTGTTCTGTGTTTCTTCTGGACTTCAGCCGCGGCCGTGTCCTCGCCTTTCTATTTCCTTATCTTGGCTGTCTCCTCGTCATTTTGGTACGGCTGTGTTCCTGGGAAGGCATCTTTGGCTCTGGCCAGGGTCAGTGGGCCTGCTGTGCCCTTCCTGTTTGTGAACTCCAAACACAGTACATTTTTTGATTAATGGTCTTTTCCCCAGAGTCAGCAGACTGGAAATGTGTTTCTCTTTCTCTTCATTGTATTCTATGGCAGTGGGGGTTTGGGGTAAGAAGTCATGTGTTTTATACTTAAGTTTATTGAGAGATTTGGATGTGGATGGGGGATAAACTTTTTGGAGAAGTGGGGAAAGAAACATAAACATTGGAAAGCTGTGGAAAATTGAAATTATCAGTAGTTCAGATTTTGAAGGCAAAGTGCAATTGAATGTTAAATAGCTGAGAGGTTGTTTGCTAGTGACAAGACAAGACAATAAAAACAACCACCCCCTGATATGGAGTGGATTCTGACTCAGAGCGACCCTGGATTGGGTTTTTCAGTTTGAATCTTTATGGGAACCAGTCACCTGTGGAGTGGATGGTGGGTCTGAAATGCCAACCTGATGGTTAGACGTCTGAAGCTTCTAGCATCATTTTGCTTTGTGGGCCAAAGAAGGACTGCTTTTGTTTGAAGTGGCTCCAGTTTGAGATCACAAGGTATCAAAAGAGGATAACTTGGAATTGCAACCAGCCCACATGGAAGAA